ATAGGTTCTTGCACATTTTATAATATCATTTATTTGTATAAAATTTATATCAAAAGTCCAAAATAATAACAACGGCAAAGGCGATGTCGTATTGGGATTCCGTTCGAATGGAAAAGGAATAGAAGCGCGAAAGATCTTTATATCCATGCAAATCCGAATACAGATAATCAAGTGCCAGTCTAAAAAGAAGAGATACGAGTGCTTCATCGTGAAACTAATTTTAAACCTGTCTCATTTCGGTGTCAGTGGCATACAGAATCGATGACGAATGGCAACCGGTTCTGCCTGATATTTCATTGGCTGGAAAATTAATAACGTATCACCATCTAGATTTTCGCGCGATTTTCTTAAAATATTCGAATTAGGCATCTACTCGTAGATTAATCAACTTTTCAAGAAAAATCGAGATTTTTTCCAATGGATATGTTGCTGGCAAAACGATACAGCAGAAATGTTTTCGCGACAAACGAATCCAATTACCAAGTTTAATGAGCAGAAAACTCATACTTTAAAAAAAGAGATTAACACATCCGACGCATGTTGTGAAATATCCTGAATAATATTGTATATGTATGTGTCTAGGATATATTTTATGGAAAGCGGATATTCCAACGATACTAAAGCGATCGAGAAACAACGAGACGATAACTTCGAGTATATTAATTAGAAAAAAAACTTTCTATAATATTCGATAAATTACTGTTTCACGTCTGTCTACGGTGATTCGTTAGCTCGAACGCCAATGTCGTACGATGATTCAATACGATTTAATTAATTATCAGCAGCCACGGTGTACGAGTGATGCGTAAGAGAAACTAAAGTTTACACTCTTTTAAATGCCATAGTAGAAGGGAACTTTTACTTTCATGAAAAACATGTGTAATCGAGTACGACACATAGTACGTGTGTCGTAGTCTGTACTACGTATACTGTTTGAATGTTAGAACACATCTACGACTGATTGAAGGCTCGATTGTGTATACCGATGGAAAGCTACAATACGCACGTTCCGTTCGGACTGTCCGAGCTTTCGAGTTTGTTCAGGACACACGCTGATTGGCTTTTGTCGAAAATTACTTTTTCAATCAACGGCGTCCTGAATGTCACGACCGCTATTCCATGCGCCCTTGACGCGTCTCCTGCTGATAAGTGTGGGGTGGTATCCGAATTGACGCGAGACGTTCGGTTCTGAAAAGGTGGCGATACTCCTGCAGGTCAGAAACCTCGAAAACTTATACCGTCACCATATGGTTTTAAAGCATAGACTCTGGAGACACCGAGTTTACAACACATCTCTGGCTATCGAGTAGCAAAGGTAAAGTAAACTAACAATTCTAAATGCAACTGACCATGCTCCTGTCACGTCCCGCGCGCGCACGCGCCGTAACGTAGACTAAAACTACCAATAGCGCGAATGAGCGTTCCAATTTGAAATTTAAATAGATTTTAACAATTTGTATAGATCGGCAACACAACCAAAACGAGCCAAACAAAACGTAACACTCCCCTAACAAGTTTGAAGATTCCGAACGGAACAATAATCGTTTTTACGATAAAATATGATCCATTCTGTTAAAACCGATGCAGATTTATCTTCAATTATGTTCCTATAATACAATTTCCATACTTATCCAACGCAATAAGTCGTAATTATCAGAAATTACACGAGTGAAAGTCAGCTCACCTATTCCACCCACTTGCAAACTGTGTATCGATGCTTTTCGAGAGGTTTCGCTCGAGACAATGGAAACTCGCAGAGGAGAGGAACGAATTATTCTAACGATCGTTTCCGTTCGCGATAACGAGTCCTCTTTATTCTAAACATTATCTATATCCATAGAAGGCAGTCAGTTGTAAAAACTCGATGGTCGTCAGAGCTACCTGAACGTCGACAATTAAGGAACAATTGATTTGCAGCTTAACAAGCCTATTTAACACGATCAAAGGATTCTCGATTTGTCTCACTTTTGCAGTCTCGCAAGCGTTAGCTTCGGTATTGGCTCGCTTGTTGCTTATGTAACTCGCAATTTGCGTTTAGAAGCGCGTAATTTCGTCGTCCAAGCGCAGAAACAGGATTTGCCATCAAGAATCCACCGTGAACCATGCCACGCCACGCTACGCTACACCATACCACGTTACTCTGCTCGACAACGCGATGAATATTCATTCGTGTCTCCGCTGTCTAATAATCATGCACGACTGCTACACGGATGCCATTCTACGATTGAAGGCTGTTTACGAAGCAATCGGACGATCGGACGCAAACTCAAGATTGGATGCAAAATGTTCGAAGATTCGTTTCTACGCGATCGTTTACCATAGTTTAATTCTACTCGTCGTATATCATTATACGTATCTAGCTGTGATAATTAGAAATAAAACTATTACGATAATTACGATTGAAATAAATCTTATCAAGAATAAGCAAGCGATGCTTTTCAATGGTATCGTATAGGACCATCGTTTCGCATTTGCATACGAAAGAACTTGTCGCTGAGCCCGCCCGCCTGTTATCTTCGTTGCATTTAAATGAGACTGTTTCCGATGATCGATCAGAAAACTGTTGGCAAATCATTCGTGGAAATGTTCCTTTTTCTTCTTTTACTGTCAATTTAAAAGCGTGAATCATCGTAAGAGTCAACAAAGGGAAACGGATTGAAAAGGAAGAAATGGAAGCAGAAGTTTGGCGATGTGTCAAGAAGATGTTTTAAGAAGGAAGCGGTTCTTTGTTCATTTTGGCGATGCTGTTTTCAAATTGGAAGAACGCTATGGCAATAATTTGCGGTAATTTCTTTCTTAGACAGCACATGGTACACCTTAACCTTTTGTTTCTTTAACTGTTTCTAGCTGTAGCAACACTGTATCACCGAAGAATCGAAGCTACAGTTGAAACGAAGCTCTTTTACAAAAATTCTTAACAGGTCATCGACTCACAATCGCTATAATTTGAATATCTCCAGTGATATTTCTCTAAAATATTACAAAATTATTCTCATTTTAAATGAAAAAAAGCTAAACGAATAAACTTTTAACTATGGAATATCGGTCACGACATGGTTTGTCACAAATGATTAATACAAAATTTACATGTATTTTTTGTTGATCGACGGAAGCGAAGATGTACAGTATCGTAAACCAAGTCGTAAAGTGCAAGTTGCACCGTTCGCCTTCGAACGCACTGGTTGCTTCTGTATGTATGTTGGTTGTTCCGTTATATAGAAATGCCGAAGGCGATGCTAATGAGGTAAATCGAAGTCACAAATGCCGTAAAAGGTCCGATAACCCTTTCGAAAACGGTGTCTTTTTTTTCTCTTTTCTTTCGTTCGATTGGGGAAGAATACGGCGCGAAAGAAAATAAATCCGAACTCTGCTCGTGTAAAAAAGATATCCGATCGTATGTAGGCAACCCTAAATCTCTACCATACAGATTCAATTCCTGTGAACGACTGGAAATTTACTGTCAGCCGGTAACGGCATCTTCGTGCTCGTATACGGAATTCCCAGCGAAGAAACGAAGAAACACTTTGACGACTGACATTAATTTCCTGAAAATCACAGTTAATTTTTTAATGATCCTATGCATTATTCGTTAACTAGCCTGTGGCGTATAGATTTTCATTGGATCGTTAAATGTTTTGATTTTATTACATTTGGTTCTATTACTTGGCCATGTACTCTTAGACTATTAGATAAATAGCTAACTATGAACATGTATAGGAATTTTATTTGTTAGTTTATTTAACGTTCAAAGTCTGTCTAAAATAGGTACTGTGGGATAGATTTATGGCTACTGGCTGCAACAGGTGAAGCTAATTGATTCTGCTGCATCTTTTGGATCATTTTCGATCCAAACTGATCCTTATTTATCGTTAAACGATCTTTTATTTGATATACGTAGGCGATCGTCTGTTTTAATTTCACGTAAAGTTGCCTCGCAACGTTACGAGTCTTTTTGTTTTTTTTTTACCAGATGTGGGATTGAAAGATAGAAATTCGAAAATTATAGCAAGTAGAGCGCAGAAGAAAAAGAGAGATTTGCTCCTTGTCAAAATCTATATATGTAACATTATCAATTTTTTTTCTGCTTTTAAACTAATCTCAATATCGTATAATCTACGTATTTTCTTTTTTGTGTTTTTTTAATGAAAAATAGAGAAAATAGAAATCCTTATCGTTCTGGTAGCTTTAAAAGAAGCAAATGCTCCTGTTTCATTTCTCATGTCGGAACGGTGTAAAAATAACGGGAAGTTCTGGAAACAATAACATATTTTTCACCGTTGATCACTGTTGTCTGACGTTTCATTTATCCATGAAAGTATCATCCGTTTTTACATGCACATGTACGTAGTTCGAAATAGAAACTTTACGTTCGATCTCCGTTAGTCGCGAACAGTATGTTATTAAATGAGTATTCTAAAATAATATTACCATATTTCTCTCACAGAATTAATACTTTCTTATGAAAGCTGTCGCGCGAGAGTTGTTAAATCGACGAGTTTTTTTTTCGTTATAATGCTTACGAGATGAAAGAAGCGTTAGAATGGACTTTACGAAGAAAATATAAGGATCGATAAAAAGTAACGAAACGAACTTTCTAGGGACCTATCAAACAAGAAATACATACGTTTACGTTATTTTCTTCTCTGAAACCGTCTTCAGAATAAATAAAACGAGTGAATTCGTCGATATCATTTGTTTTTTTCTTTCTTATATATCTTCTAGGTTATAGGCAATGTATTCAAGTATTATTTAATACTCTAACCATTATAAAAGAACTCGATCAAATAATACTCGATCTAATTTTACGTAAAATTGAAAGAAAGGATAGAAAGAAAAAAATATAGCATATTTCATAGTTGATTCGGTCTACACGCGGATATATCTTTAATCGAGAAATTGAATTCCCTCGTTAACTTAAAGCCAATGTATCTTTATATCTTCTTCGACTATTTTACAATTTGCCTCGTTATATTTTCACTGATTCGATAAAGGGAACGTACCTATCTATAGTAGTCATTTTGTAAACGTTGTCGAAGATGTTTCCTCGGTCCGACCGAACGCTTTCTTCTTTGACGTTATCACCGTCATCGTGAGTACGGAAATGTAGCGTTCTTGCGTTGGAAAAGTCTGGTTGCTCGGGATTCATGATTCGTTCGTCAAGAGATCATCCAAGTCACGAATATGAGAAACACAGCGCGGTCACGTGAAAAAAAAAAGGAAACAAAAGAGAAACACGCTTCAGCGTATTTGAGTCAGTCCATCGAGGACTCTCAATACATATTCGATCGTTGTACCACGATATGGACGCGTTGTCCGTGTTTGGAAACAGTTTCAGTCCTTGTCGTAGCCGGACGATCGTCCTAAATTACGCGCGCGTTCTATACACGGTGTTATTCGTGACGATGTTCCTTTTGTTGCGTGACATTGCCATAGATATGGCCATATGGGGATTTTCATTCGGTGTGTATTTCACGTGCAAATTCATCTTCGTCAAACTTCTCTTCGCCTGCAAGAGAATCGAGCGCAATGTAGGAAGCTGTCGCTAAAGATCGATGTTTACGCAACCGTTACGATAATAACCGTTGGTGGAACGATTCCTATTTTCAGATATCTACAGAGATCATGCCAATTAATCTTGTTCCAAGACGAACTACTTTTTCCCAACACGCCTCCACTTTTTTATTTTTGTTACGCGCGCGCAATAAATTTTCAGATACGTCGAATTATTTTGAATATCTCGTAAATGTCCTGACAAGATTTATAATAAATTAGTTTATGATTGGCGATAATTAGGAATTAATTGCCGTATCGCACCATTATTTTCATATGTAAAATGAAATGAAGAGTACTATAATCAGTAAGGCACACGATAGCTTTTGTAGATCTGTATTTTTCTCGACACATAAGACGTATAATATGTCTCATCCGAATATAAAACACGTGTTTAAATGATATAGTACGTTGGCTATTGTCGTATTGGAATTTGCAAAATGTTACAATAGTTGAAACGATTTCCGTTATTCGACGGTAGAATGAAAATTTCCCAGACGGTGAATACTTTCCTCTGGGAAGAAAAGAATAGGATATTATACGAAGCGATAAGATTTTTTATTTGGCTCGATCGGTTGACTCGTAAAAATTTTAATGAAACCGGTTTCCACGCCTAGCAGGTCACAATAAACGCGCGATATGAATCTTTTTGGCTTATTACGAGGGCTGAAAACAAGTTATTATCCCGAATGAAATCCCTTACGGAAGGTATGAAGGCCAAGGTTTAGTGTCTTTTCAATAATCCTGACGTAAATCGACCAAAAAATTATGGTTGTAAACGGAAGATAATGGTCTTCCTTCTCATTGCGTGAATATTATGTAATCCAAATTGAAAACTATGGAATGAATATGTCAATTGTACATTGCTTTTTTTCCTGGAACAATAAATTAAATATTGAAAGTAAAAAAAAAAAAAAAAAAAAAACAGATTCAATAAATTTTCTCAAACTTTTCTGGATTTAATAAATTAAATTTCTATATTCCATAGATTTAGTAGATTAAAAGCTTTGAAAACGTTTTTTTAGATATTTTTTATACTTCTCAATAAATCACAAGATTATGTCTATTTCAATAAATTATAAAATTATATATGACAACTATTTTTAATTTCAAGTTACAGTATCGAGAATTCTCATACACCGCTTTCACGAGACTGTTGCCAATATTTGCATAGTGACTCTATTATTATCCGCGAGTGACTTATTATTATTCTTTTGCAAACTATACGTTCCGATAGAGAGTTCAACATGTGGACGTATTCTTAAATGTGTCCACGTTACATGACAAGCATCGTTTGTTTTATAAAAGATAACGTAGGCGAACTCGTTCGTACACCTGGCTTCCTTTGTCTAGTATTTTTCGTATATTTTTTAGTTTTATTTCGCGTATTTCTTAGAATGATAATAAATAACGTTTGTATATTTATTTCGATAAATATTTTTTAATACTATCCTTCTAATACATTTTGTACCTTATTTGCTTTTTTATGTATCAGACCACCTCGACTTGAAACATTGGATTACATACAACAAAATATTTTTCTGATTTTAGATAAACTCACGCATTGAAGAAGCAACAAAATAAGTACGGAGATCTACAAGTAAGATAAACTAATTCGGACACAAACAGTGTGATATCACTGTACTTTTATAAGAAAGATAAAATTACTCACAATTTATTCTATGGAACCGCAGTTACGTCAGTCATAATTATATACAACAAAATTTTCTTGAGAAACTTATCCTTCGTAAGACAGTGAGATATGTATCGAGTTACCTGAGCCAAAAAGATATTTAGTTTCGTGGTTTGTTACGTTCGCTCAGTTCGAGGGCATTATATCTGTGTAACTAACACGTACGCGTGTCTAACTGATTTGAAAGATAGTATACTACGCATGTTAATTATTTCGATGTCAAATTGTTTAATTCCGTATTCGGAAAACATACAATTTTACTTGAGACCTTCACGATTTTATACATTCAGGTTATGTTCGTAATTCAACCGCCGTTTTCAAGGTTCGATACGTTCTTAAATAACATACATACCTAATGTATTTGGAAAATAAATGTTCATCGTTTTCAACGTTTCTCATTCAATGTGACGAAGCTGACATATATCTTTGACGTTCTTTTTAATCTTGTTTATTAACTAATTGAAACACTATTTCGATTTCCATATTACGCGGGACGTTAAAAATGTTAAATTATTTTAGAAACTTAAATTCTGCACACTTCACGTAGTCAACTGATTTAAGCGTTACATTTAAAATAGCGGCGCTAGAATACAAAAGATTAAAAGATTTACCGATCAAGTATATATGTACATGGTTCTAGAACTGCCATCTGGTGAGCGAAACGAGTACTTACAACTCCAGCTAATTGACACAAGATCATTTGTGAGTAGCCATTTGTTAGTAGTATAGTACACGTTTAAGAAGTAACTCTTTTTAAGCACTGTAGAGAATTAATATAATAAAACAATATGACTAATCCGAATTTAACTGATATGACAGAGGAAGATGCGGCGGACTTGCAATTTCCGAAAGGTACGTTTATTTTTTCTTTTATTTAGCAAGAAGAGACGGAGACAATACTGTCTGTTTCTAACCTATAATCATATGACGTTTGTCAATGTTTTTTCCGATAACAATTAACATTTTACGTTGTACCGTGTAAAAATAATGTTTAATTGCGGCATGGCCTAAAGTAACGATTATCCTCTTTCAGACTGCTCATCGAGTAGAACAGAAAAGATCGAGCATAACGTAGAACTCGACGCGTCAGTCGTGAACGATGAAATCATTACTTCAGACCCAATATGCCGCGTATGCAAATCCGCATTGACAGAGCCGTATATTCGTTGTGCTGTGTGTGATAGTATGGAATTGTGTCCCTCTTGTTTCTCCAATGGATCAGAAATTAGCAATCACAGAAACGATCACGACTATATCATCATAAAGAATGAATTTCCCTTGATCAATGGAAGCGGTTGGACAGCGAAACAAGAATTAGAATGTTTAGATGTTTTACAGGAGTGTGGTTTTGGTAATTGGGTTGACATGGCCAGACGAATACAAGGGAAATCAACGGAAGAATGTAAAAATCATTATCTTCAATATTATATCGATAATCAGGCTTTGGCAGGATTGCCAAAAATGAAAGAAACAAAAGCTAGTTTGGTTGGTTGTGAACCTATTCCTTATCTATATAAATTGCAAGATTTAGAAGAACCTCCTCGGTTTGCACCTAATACTCTTAATTGTAAACTTTTGGCTGGATACAATGCAGCAAGATCAGATTTTGAAGTCAATTTTGATAATCATGCAGAATTATTAATTTCTGCCTTGAACTATGACGAATTTGATATAAGTGATAATAATTATGAATTAGGAAAAGAATTACAAGTAGCTATAGTACAAGCATATAATAACAGACTGAAAGAACGTATGAGGAGAAGAAAAATTATACGTAATCATGGACTGATAGCATTTAGAAGGACTATATCTTGGATACAGAGATACGAATGTACAATAACTAGAGCACTTGCAGAAAGATTACTAATTTTTATGCAATTATTAGGAGGTATAGAGTTCGATTATTTCATGGAAGGCTTACATAGAGCGGGAGAACTTAAAAATTATCTTAATAAGTTATTTGAATTCCGCAATAACGGTTTGGAACACTTTCATAGCGTTCCAATATTTCAAAAGTTAAGCAAACTTAGACAAGAAAATGAAAAGGAAAGGAAACAATACTTGAATAACCCTGAATACAGCTGGAAGACTATATTACCTGGTTGCAACATTAATTTTAGTAATTCCATATCGAGTACAATCGCACAACGAAAAACGGCGCCGCCACTTGCAATTCAAGGTCTTCCAGGATATGAGAAATTAACTTCAGCCGAAAAAGAGCTTTGTTCAATTACGCGTATAGTACCTACTAATTACCTCGATTTCAAACAAATTTTAATAGCAGAAAATAAAAAAGCTGGTTATCTTAGATTGGCACAAGCTAGGGTTTTGCTTAAAATTGACGTAAATAAAACACGAAAAATATACGATTTTCTTACGGGAAAGGGATATATAAATAAACCAAATCAATGATATACAGTTCGTTAATCTAGTAAAAATGCAAAATATTTATATATTATAGTTCGCGGATACTGCCAGAATTGTGATATTACATATTAAGACTTATAATTAAGAATTTCAAGTAAGAGTTGTAAAAGATCGACTGAAAATAATAAAGTAAGCATATAAATTAAAATATATAAAATATATTATAATAATTTATATATAAAATATATATATAACAAATTTAAATTATACATATAAGAATAAGCAACATACAAATATGTAAATTTATATATAATGTTTTGTGCTATATTTATATTATATAATAAATGTATCTTTTTTGCAAAATATGATTAATAAGATTTTATTAAAAATTTGTGATTAGTAATGTTCAATCAAAAATGTACCCACGAGTGACTTAAAGAAAATAAAGTAAGTTTTAAGTAAATTGCGTAAACGATACTATCTGATTAATAAAAGCTCTATGTGTAATTTTTTTTTTTTAGAATTTGAAAATGCAG